CCCGCGGAGCCCCCCAAGCCCAAGCCCGCGCCAGCCCCACGGAGCACCACACACGCGAGCCCGCACAACCCCACGGAGCACCACACACGCGAGCCCGCACAACCCCACGGAGCACCACACACGCGAGCCCGCACAACCCCACGGAGCACCACACACGCGAGCCCGCACAACCCCACGGAGCACCACACACGCGAGCCCGCACAACCCCACGGAGCACCACACACGCGAGCCCGCACAACCCCACGGAGCACCACACACGCGAGCCCGCACAACCCCACGGAGCACCACACACGCAAGCCCGCGGCAGCCCCACGGAGCACCACACGCGCAAGCCTGCGGTAGCCCCATAAAATACTGTGCATGCGAGCAGCAGCGACCCCACGGAGTACCGCATACACGAGCCCGCAGAGGAGTCAAAGAGGCTGCACTGCGTACGAGTGAGGTGAGAGCATGGAAGCAGGGCAGAGATCTTCCATTTATTTTTAAATATTTTGCTGGTTGTAGGGCAGGTGTGCTCTCTGCAGACAGAGAGAAAGTGAGAAATTGCTCCCAGTGCCTCCTCCACCTCCCCTTGGGGTTCTGGCACGCGCGCACATGTGCCCAGTGCACACCTCAAGCCGCTGGGTCTGGGATTCTACCTGCAGTCAGCACCTTAACTTCCAGGCTACCTGCTGGCCTCAAATACACCTTTTTTCAATTAAAAAAAATTTAAATTATTTTTTAATTAGACCAGAGAGACAGGAAGTGAGAAAGCAGGCAGTCAGGTCTGGGACTTGGACTGGCCAGCCACGTAAGAGCCCAATGCCGTAATCACCAGGCCACCTGCCGGCCCCACACAGACCTTTTAAAGGACTTTTCATAATATACTTCAGCTGAATTAAAATTAAATTAAAACAAAGTTAAATTAAAAAAATTTTATCTGTTAACAGTTTGAATCTGCAGCACACTTTGGAAAACGGTCGGGGAACCTGCTGCAAGGTTCTGGAAGCCACTCAGCCTCTCTGTGGCTCAGTCCCTCCACTGTCTACGCATCATTCACTCCCAAGGGCTCCCAGGAACCACAGGACGGGCTTTACGCCGACCCTTCTCTTCACTGCATGTTTTACCACACTCTACAGCCGTTCATAGGAAAGTCCCCGAAAGACAGAACTAGAAAACGTTACGGAAAACGTTCTATTACACTTGTGATCCTAGAGAAAAGAAAGATCACAATTATTGAACTTAAAATGCCTGGATTTTCTTTCCGCTAGAGGACAGGTGATGGGATTATGGCAGGAATTTCAGCTTCTTAGAAAGAAACCCCCCCCGGGAACCAGCAGTTAGCGTAATGGCTATGTTGCTGGACTCCCACGTAGTCGACCGTGGTTCGCGTCCCAGACCCGGTGGCTTAAAACTCATGCCGGGCGCATGT